CATGAACTAAGTAGAGACGGGGGATCTTTGGGCAGAACAGTAATAACCTCCCATAAATTGATGAACAAATTCCACAACTCCCAAGCTACAGGACAAAACATAAATAAATGATGAATTGTTTCTTCCTCCTTTTGGCATAAAGGACATAATAACTCTTCCAAAGGAATACCTCTTTTCTTCAATTCCACTCTAACAGCTAATTTCTGGTGAGATAATTGCCATAAAAATGTTTCAACTTTTGGGGGAGCCAATCCAGACCAAACCCATTTCTTCCACTGAAAATTTCCTCCAGAGCTTCGATAAGAGCTGATCTACAGGCCTTAACTGAGAACAAACCATCTCCACTCCCTGACCAAATTAGGAAGTCATCAACAGCATCAATCAAGACAATATTATCAATCAAGTCATTAGCGATATCCATTGATCCAATTCCAATCACATAAATCCTCCTTAGACAAATATTCCAACTCCAACAATTATTATCATAACAGCCAAAGTCCACAACTTTCCGTTTTGTTTATCGATAAAGCATAAATCCTAGGGAATTGTTCTTTTAAGGTGGAATTATTAGCCCAAATGTCATTCCAGAATTCGATTGATCTACCATTCCCCACTTGGATCTTGGAATTGGACCTTAGACAATCCCCAATATCGTCATTTTTCTCATAATTATTCACAATTCCTCTCCATATCCATGAATCTTGCGGGTTAACAGCCTTATTAATTGAAAGAGACAAATTGGTATTGTGCTTGCAACAGATCATCTCCTTCCACTGAGAATGTTTATCATTTGCAAACTTCCAAACCCACTTCCCCAGAAGCACTCTTTCGCCATCGACAAATCCAGGACACCCAAACCACCCTCCTCGTACGGTTGACACACAATTTTCCAATTCACCCAATGAATCCGCTTCTTCGAGGGATCGTCCCCCCAAAGGAATTTAGCCATCAGAGAATTCAACTTTTGATTAACTTTAGGGGGATTTTGAAGATAGAGAGGAAGAAAATTGGCAAGGACGACAAAACAGACTTCACTAATACTAATCTTCCTGCCATCGATAATGTTTTTGCTTTCCAGCCCTCTAATTGCTATTGAACTTCTGCAGAACTGGTTCCCACAACATATCCGAATTTCTGTAAGTGCCTATCGGTATACCAAGGTATGTCATAGGAAGAGCCCCAACACCACAACCTGCGAACGTAGCCCATTCCTTTAGAACCTCCTCATCCATATTAACACCAAATAACTTGCTCTTTGATAAATTAAGTTGGAGGCCTGTCATTAAGCCAAAAATCCTCAAAACTCTCCTAATATTCATAATTTGAGCAGAAGAGTCCCTGCAGAAAAGTATTAAGTCATCTGCGAATTGTAGATGCGTCAAATGAAACTTATTTTCCGCCCTACCAACACTGAACCCTTCAAACAGAGCACAATCAGCAGCCTTAATCAACATTAGATTCAATAATTCCCCAACAATATTGAACAGCATAGGAGATAAACTGCAGCCTTGTCTTAACCCTTTCCCCATCTTGAATTCATTGGTCGGAGAACATTGACAAGAACAGAAATTGAAGCGGAGGAGATACACAACTCAATCCAAGAAAGCCACCTATTTCCAAATCCCATAATTCTCAGGAGTCTCAACAATATCGGCCATTCCACCGAATCATAAGCCCTTCGAAGTCCACCTTGAAAACACCTTTCCTCTCTTTTTTCCTCCAATCATCAATAACTTCATTAGCCAAGAAGACACAGTCCAGTAGCTGCCTTCCGGGAATGAAGGCAAACTGTGACGGACTAACCAGAACACTAATAACAGCCGCAAGCCTTCTAGCTAGAACTTTGGAAATTATTTATACAAACTGCCAACTAAGCTTATCGGTCTGTAATCTTCTATACCTTCAGGATTTCTGGTCTTTGGAATCAACGTTAGGAATGAATGATTGACCCCGTGCTCCCAAATCCTTCCATTATAAAGTCCTCGACAAATTTCATAATGTATGACTTCAGAGTGGCCAAAATTTCTTAAAGAAACCCATTGTGAAACCGTCTGGCCCCGGTGCTTTGGCACTGTCCGAGTGGAAGACTGCCTCCCACACCTCCTGTTCTGAGAATCTAACTTCAAGTAGCTTCTTTTGATCATCTGTCAATTTAGCAAAAGGCAAATTGATTTGTCCACCTCTAGGGTTGTTACCGAGTTAAAATTGTCCTTGAAATAATTAAAAACAAAGCCTCTCAGCTGATCCGGTTCTGAAATAACTTCCTCAGCTACCTTCAATGAAAAATGGTGTTAAACCTATTCCTATTCAACGCACACATGTGGAAAAACTTTGTGTTTCTATCCCCCTCAATACTCCATCTCACTCGTGACCTCTGCAGCCAAATGCTCTCCTCCTTCCTATGCAAATTCCACAACTCCTTCCTCGCAACAATCATCAAGTCCCGTTCTTGAAAGGAAGTCCCCTCTTCCTGTAGCTTCAATTCCAGACCATTAATTCTGGATTCTAATTCAGAAATAGCATCGGAAAGTCCCCTGTGATTATTCCTTGGCCAATTCCTAATAGCCTGCTTAGTTCCTCTAAGCAGTGAGAACAGACCCCTACCACCAATACCCCTCCTTAGATTTGATAATGACGATTCCACCGCCCCAACAAACCCATCTTCCTGAAGCATGTAATTATAGAACCGAAACGGCTTAGGGCCCCAATTATTGCATTCTTCTACCAACAAAACGGGATTGTGATCCGAAAGGGATTTGGGAAGCATTTTTGGATCACATTTGGGAACTGATTTAAAAATGATCCACTAATCAAAATCTATCCAGCCTTACCCATGTAGTTGACTCTCTATTATTGGACCATGTAAATCGCCCCCCTACTAGCGGTAAATCCATCAAATTGAAGACTGAATAAAAGACCTAAGCAAATCCATAGAGTGCCAATTCTGAGTAAACCCACATTTCTCCTCAGGGTCTAGATAAGCATTAAAGTCCCCCCCCAAGCAGACCGGCAAGTTGATGCTTTGAACAGCACATAAAAAATCCCTAAAAAATTCCTCTTTATCAGCCTCTACTGATGGACCATACACATTGATAATGACACATTCAAAATTGCTCATCTTAAACTTCCCTGATAATGCCATAAATCTACCACTGTTAATCTGTGCACTAACCTCAAAGTCATTCTCATTCCATAAACATATTAAACCTCCTGCCGAACCATCAGCTGGAACAAAACAGCTGCCTCTGAGCAGATTACCCCCAAGCTTTCTTGTTAATCCACTTCTACAGACATTCAATTTTGATTCTTGAAGTAGTAAAATAGCCGGCTTTTCTCTAAGAACCAACCTCGACACTGCCCTGATTTTTTCAGACTTCCCAAGCCCCCTAATATTCCATGTAATAATTTTTTAGTTTTGACATTTAAATTAATAACATTCAACACCAAATACATCCACAAGGTACGATCAGGAGGCCTTTCCAATCCCCAACAATTCCATCTTGAAAATCTCATCCTCTACAATTTGATTCCCCCTATAAGGAAATTCCCAGCATGTCACAGACTTCCCTAGTATGTTCCGCTTCCTGCCTGGCTTGAACAGAGTCTTGAGATGGCTGAGACACCTCCCTAACGTATTCCACTGACTCCCTGTCCGTGCTACCAGTCACCCTCCTATATATTCTATCATGAAATCTTACTTCCACTTCACCTTCCGAACATACACTACCTGAATGACAAGGAGCAATTCTGAACCTTCTCCTGTTCATTAGATTTGTTGATCGAGAAAAGCCCTGACCAGAATTTTTTGTAGACTCCAAACTGCTCTCCTTATCTAAGAATCTACCCTCCACCTCATGGTCAGCAGATACACTATTCCTATCCATGTCCATTTGTCTATGAGAATTTATCACATTATCCTCAATTATACTCCTGCTCAATAGCCTGCTCTTCGATCAATTCGACGCCCTGCTCAGCTTGTACCAATTCCTTCTCCCCCCCTGAAATTATAATCACTTGCCTAGGATTATCAACTTCTACAGGGACCAAAGGATTGACTAAAATGTTATTGGGCTGGAAAATTAGTTTGTCTCCAATCCTTTTTACGTTATATGCAGGCCCAGAAGGACAGATTTTCATAGTAGAGTTTAGGGGAGACTCATTAACATCAGATTGGTTTTTTTCATCGGGAGAAGAACTTTCTCTCAGACCTAGTCCCACGTGACCTTCCACTTGGGCAGACCTATTTTCCACTAAACCTGACAGCCCACAATTGGACTTTCCTGCATTTGACTTTCTTGAAGTAGCCTGACCCTCAGTACCTCCATTCATACCACTATTATGACCATTATTCAGCCAAGAAGTAACTTTATGCACAGAAATCTCTGCAAAATCTTCTCCTTCAACTGCTCTTTCTGGAACACAGTCCTCCTCTGACTCGGAAAGGACAGAATCCCTGTTCACCTTGTTTGAAAATTTCTCTTCCATCTTCCTCCCCAGTTCATTCGGCTGGATCAACACAGACCCCATGAGAATCTTAACTTTGAAAGATCTACCATAAGAACCTACAATGACCATTTCTGGAACATCGAAGGGACTCTCCACCCTTAACAAAACCTTCGCAGACGAAAGGTCGTATCTCATCTTTGATTCTTCCTTAAAACAATGAACCTTCCCCAATCCTTAGTGAGCTTCTCCAAGAAAGCCTCATTCCAGCACAATAAGGGCAAACCACACAGTTCTATTTGGCACAAAGCCAAAGGAACACCATTCTCATTAACTGCTGGAGCTAACCAATCGAAACACAAGGACAACACTTCCTTCTTGTTTTCCCAAGCATAAGAAATTCATCCACAGAATTAAAAGTGATGATACAAGCCTTCCATGCATAACCCCATCTCGACACCTGAATTCCCAATCCCTCTATCTCCATGGCTTCCTTTGCCGACTCATAATCATAAGTTGGTTTCATTATTCCTGTTAATGATCGTTTCACCCACTTGAAATTGTCTGTCGCAATATGCATCTCCCACACGTTCCTCACACCAGTAGCATTTCGTTGCTGCCCTCCACCAACATCTCCGACTCTTGTTCTCTTCTCTTGTTTACATCAGACCTCGCTACTTCCTTATACGTTCTGCCATCCCTGAAGCTTTGCATCGACTTTGCCTTTAGCCCATTTGAAACCAACTCCTGCTCTCTTGACTTGAACCTCAACATACTCTTCCCATCATCAACCTCCTTCTTAGTTCCCTTCTGATACTTAGCAACCCCTACCGATAATCTCCTCCCATCGAACCATCTCCCATTCACAGACTGGATAGCTTTTTCCCTACTTTCCTCATCAATAAATTGGACAAAAGCGAATGTTGAGGACTTGTACTTTGATTTCTCTAAAATACCGCGGAATGAATATTCTCACAATCTGACCATAAGGACTAAAAAACTCTCTAAGGACTCGTCTTGAAACCCTCTTACTAAGATTGTCAATGAACACTGTCCATTCCTCAGTAGAGGCAATGGACTTTTTCGAGTTTTCTGCACTTCTCTCTCTACCTATCTCACTCATTTCTAAAAATAGCTTTAAAACTTGTTTTTTTTTGGGTTCGGAAGCTACACATATCAATCTTATTCATATGCTAAAACAACAAAATATTGTGCTTTAATTTATAAGATCAAACAATTTTGGAACACTTCAATCCTCAAACTAGTGCACAAACTCAGTTAAAGGATTCTTCTGGTTAAGATAAAAATCACTTGTGAAAGCAAGATAAACTTTTTTTTTTGATAAAAGTTGGAGGTCTCATTAAAAACTCCCTTCGTATTCTTCCACATACTAAGAAGTATGTTGTAGAACATTGGAAGCAAGATAAACTAACATCAAGCTTTTTACCTGATCAAATTTTCGACCTTGGATAATATCTGCAAGGGCAAGACAAGATGCCTCACGAGAACGCCAAAGCCTGGATCCACATTGTATTAGAAGATCATCAAAAATAAAATCCAAATTTTCATCAACAGTCCTCTTAGGATCAGCCACGAGTGATTTCCATATATGTGCCATAGCATCCTGCGAATGTCACAATTACTTGAGCACACAGCAAAGAATTCAAAAAATCTAGCTGTCAGTAAAAGCTCGTAATTCCAGGAATTCAACACATTTGAAGAACATTTTTTACAGCATTTGTGTTTGCTAAACACCTTTGGTTAAGAATTGCAGAAGGGCACATTGAAGCAATGAAGAACTTTTCTAAAGTCTCAAGGAATCTTACCTGCACATTTTTATCAGGATCATATTGGTAGCGAACAAGCCTCGGAATCAATAGTCTTAAGTGTGGTTGAAGAGCATCACCTGCTTGCTTGGCTATCTTAGAAAATCCAAAAGCAGCACCTCTCTTGGAATTTAGCGAAGCTTGATAATTAGCCAGATCCATAAATTTATAAATTAAATCCGGCTGTCCCATCTCATTTGCAAGGTTACAAAGCTCCTTGTAAGTGCTAAGTTTCCCCCCACTAAGGCTTTCACCAATAGTGCCCTCTTGAAATACTTCCGAGTCTTCAACCAACTGAAAAATGAATTCTCATCCATGAACTAGGAGCATTAATCAAAAATAAAGATCCAGGGGAAAAAAGGGGGTTAAAAAAAGCTTATGTAATCTGTTTCTATCTAATTTAGGTACATTATGTTCGTTAAACACTGTTTTTTAATCTTATCTAAGGTTTTTTAGCTTTAGGCTGTGCAGACAGATTAGCACTTTATGATGCAATTAGTTTTAGCTTAGGATTTCTGGTGTCAATGTTAAATAATTTGAATACCAATTCAATAATCCATTCCCTAAACCGCAAAACACTAACATCTATATGGTGGTAGTGCTGACAGAAATCATGCACCAGTATAGCCTTCTTTCTACGCCAAAATATGACTTCGTAACTTTACCTTGATCGCTCTTTTCCTCTTTCCAGAACCAGTCAAAGTGGTAACAAGTGCCTCAACCAGGTTTTTCTTCATTGATGTGTCACCAAGGTCATAAACAATACTCATGCCTTGGGATGCAAGCTCCTGTGTAAGCTCATGTTGTTCACCAATTAGGTGTGAAAAGGCCTCCTGCATTCAATTGAAAACTTTTCAAAGCAACACTCAAAGTCAATTAAGAAATGTTAAGCAACCAACATAAAATTTCCTATGTAACTTTCTTGTGATGAATAAAATCTTAAGGCACTCTTTTCCTCCTTCCGCTGATTAAGGAGCTTCCTTACGAGCTCCATTAATCAAGAAGGGGGTTTTTAATGAGGCCTGCAATTCTTATAAAAAAAGAAGAAGCAACCAACATAAAATCAATTAATAATAGGTAGAGGGGCTGAACTTGAATATAAGAACACAGGAACAGTAAGATTGAAAGCCTGGCATAAAATTTACTAGGAAAACCATCAAGAAAAAGCAGGTAGTTTGCATTGAGATTGTATGCCTAAGAATAAAGGTGACATAGCAGACCATTTTTTGTTTTTGTTTCTGCCCAGTAGATTGGTAACTGCATCTTTCTTTAGGATTGGTCAAGTAATACCAGATATAGTAACCATTTTGTCTTATGAAAAATAAGGTGGAAAGAAAAACATATGAAGTACTATTATATTTGATGTGGTGTTCAAGGGGAAAAGAACTCAAGCCTATGAATAGAAAAAGCTTGACATTTAAAGGACCATAAATTGTTCCAAAAGCTCTAAATTCTATCACCTTCCTTTATATTGCTACATTCAAATGGTAGGCAGTTT